GGTTCACGCAAATAATTAATTTTAAAATAAATGCAGATTATGCACGCACAAGCAGACTAAAACAAAACTTAAAATGATAACTTTGACTGTAATTGCAGTCCGTAATTGCTTTCATTTTTGCCAATCCGTAATTGTAGTACAACCCTACTTTTAAGTCGATGCGTGATGCACAAGTTGGTAAATAGCGAAGTGATTATTTTCGAGACAGTGTACGAAATTCGACGCCTGAGTGAGTTACATCGATCGACCAACATCAGATAAAAGCTCTGTTCGACTTGCGAACTACGTCAAGCTTTTTAACGCATGGCCATTAAATCGTCGAGGACAGAAAGACGTCAAAATCATTAGCTACCAAGTAACATTCTAGAACTGATTTGAAGGCAACTCTTCGCCTCTGGCCACGCGAAATGTGTTACTACAACCTTATCGGCGCTCTGCTTTCGCACAGACAATCATGTATTATACAATTTTCGAATTGTAGCTTCGCTAAACTTACCTTTACTTCAACAGAATCGCCGAACGACCCAATATTTCGTCAGAACTGGAGCTCTTTATTCAACATTGCGGTCATTATAATATGAAAGCGTTTCAGGCGATTACACCTCAGACAAGAGAAGCACGTGATGTCTACAAATCCCGTGACAGGAAGGCCCGTGATATTTTTAGAGAGCTCTCTCAAATGAAATTTTGCGTCTCAAAAAACATATCTTGACAGGACGTGATTTATTTTAGTTGCATAGAATACTACAGTCCTTACCTATGTCCTTAGTTTAACAAAGGGAGTCTATGTTGCCATGCGTCTGTTTAGTAATTGATCACAGATGACTTCAAAATGAGGTGGTGGTGATGCAATAGGCCGTATCCGAAATAATGCAATGGTCGTCCCCGAATCTCCGAATTCCTTTCATTTTAAAGCAAGTCAAGTTCAGATATATATTGAAATGAATAGGATTTGCATAAAAAAGAAAGCGCGGGTGAAAACATTTTAATTTCATATTACGGTTTCGAACGAAGATTAGTTTTGGCCCAGAGGCAAAAGGCAACTCGGACAATGCTAAATTTATGATAAATTAAAATAAAATAATTAAGTTCTTGGATATTAGACTTGGAAGGGAGTTTTCTTCCAATTGTTTATTTTCCAATACATCAATTTCGATAGATTAAAATTCAGCCAAAAACAATAGACCTCAGGACGATACGGTGGCCCATTGGGGCAAAACACAACTCAATTTCTCTTCTGAAACACAACAATCTTTTGGAGAACACAACAATCTTTCGGAGAACACAACAATCTTTCGGAGAACACAACAATCTTTTCGAGAACACCACAATCTTTTTCAGAACACAACGAAATTTCCTGATACACAACAATCTTTTTCGAAACACAATAAAATTT